CTCTTGTGATACAATAGTGAATAATTGTTATCAGGACTGATTGTGAGGGTTGGAAATGTAAAGGTAGACATTTTGTGGCAAGGAGGGGAGGAATTAGCTTTTCAGTCTAGGAGCAGAGGTCCCTGGGACCATCAAGGGAGAACAGCGGAGAACGGGACCCTACCCAGCGAAGCAGTGATGCCTGAGATGGAGGCAGAGGCGATGACGTGGGGACTTTAGATCCGGAGAGGGAGAGGGCTGTGTGCTGACGACAGGGGGGTAGGGGGGGCTTGTGGTGTATACCCTTTGGTTGGTTGATGATGCACAGAGGGGATTGAAACCATGGCAATGAACACAATAAAACATTAAGAAAAAAAGAATTCTGTGTTATTTTTTCTTTTCCTAAAACAAGGATCAAATTCATTAGCTGGGAATTTAAGACCTCCACATGTATACCTTTCTGTGTATGTTGTTAAGTATGTCTACAAGCCGTTTCTGACTCATAGTGACCTTGTATAGGTTTCCTTTGAGGATTTAAATCTTCACAGGAGCAGAAAACCTCATCTTTTCTCCTGTGGAGAAACTGGTGGACTTGAACTGTGGACCTTGTGGTTCATAGTCCAGTGCTTATCATATGGAGCCACTGTGCTCCCCTTTCTATGAATTTATGTACAAAAAATTTTTAAAGGGATATTTTATAATGTTTTTCATTCAACACACACTATTATACAAATGGAGTCCTGGTGTGGTGCTGTTGGCTAATTCATTGGACTGCAAAGTCATTTGAACTGCAAGGTCGGTGGTTCAAGCTCACCAGCCGCTCCTTGGAAACTCTATTACAGGGTCGCTATGGGTTGGAATTGATTCGACGGCACTTAACAACAACAATTATACAAATAAAACTGTCAAAAGCTATGAAATAACATTTCAAAAGATTATTAAATAAGCAAAAAATTCATTTATAGAGTCATCATTTACTTTGGAAATTACCTGGTCATGTTCAATTTGTATGTGAATGTTACAATGTCTAGAGGTAAAATTTTTACTGAATGCTTTAAAATTTTTGCAAATTATTGTTTTAATGCATTATACAGAATAATTTCTCATAATATACAGTAAAATCTGTGAGTCAGATATGTGTAAAGCAGAAACATGTCAGAAAAGAAAACTCAGATATTTTCCAATAATAGTGAGTGATAGAAAAGTTGTAAGATCACACTCTGTCAAAGGCAGAAAACTTATGAGACCCAGAAAAACAAGGCAGATCAGCTCTCACAGATTTCAATGTATGGAAAAGGCGGCTATAAATCTTCATAGGAACGGAAAGCCTCATCTTTCTCCCACGGAAGTGCTGGTAGTTTCGAACTGCTGACTCTGAAGTTAGCAGTCCAACTCGTAATCACTATGTTACCAGAGTTCCTTGCAGCTCCTTAATACTGGTAAATAACATAAGGCTTCTATGACTAGTTCTATAAATAAATATCTTATTCAGTTAGAGATGGGAATTATTAGCTCTATACATTTATCTATAGCCCTTCATCACTATAACACGGCGTGAAGGAATTTGCAAACTCTATACACTTTAAAGTATTGTTGTTGTTAAGTGACATAGAGTCTGTTCTGACACATAGCGACCTTGTATAGGATTTCCAAGGAGCAGCTGGTAGATTTGAACCACTGATCTTATGGTTAGCAGTCCAATACGTATCCTACAGCACCACACCAGTACTTAAGTGTTGTTGTTGTTGTTAAGTGCCATCGAGTCGGGTCCGACCCATAGCGACCCTGTACAGGGTTTCCGAGGGTGTAAATCTTTACGGGAGTAGAAAGCCTCATCTTTCTCCCGCGGAGCGGCTGGTAGTTTCGAACTGCTGACCTTAAGGTTCGCAGCCCGATTCGTAACCACTACGCTACCAGAGCTCCTTAAGTAAGCATTAATAATATGTAAACAGATAAAGAAAATAAAACATTCCAAGGCTTTCAAATGAGAAATAACAACAAAACAAGTCAAACCAAACCAAATTGCTTATTTAAAAGAACCTTCATTTTTGAGCAGAATAATCATTTATTAAAGGGTAAAATTTTCAAATTTTTTCAAAAATTTCATGTTTCAATATTAGAGGAACACATGCACATTTATACATGGACATATAACATATACTACGTACATTATACTGGTAACAGCTGTTATTGCTATTAAGTACTGTCGAGTCCGTTCCGATTCATAGCTACCCTGTACAGGGTTTATGTGGAGTGGCTGGTGGATATGAACCGCCGATCTTATAGTCAGCAGTCCAGTACTTATCCTACAGTGCCACACCAGGGTTTCCCAATAATAACTGTACTCAACACGTATTATCATTTACATACCAAAAAGTGCTAAGTGCTTTGCATGTACTTTTCACTTAGTCTTTTAGAGGCATTCTATGAAGTAGATATTTTTATTTCAAATATACAGGAAAAGTTAAGAGGATTAAATAACTTGTCCACACACAGTGTAAGTGGCAGAGATAGGGCTACTTACACCCAGGTATGTCTAACCTCTAACCCAAGTTCTTAACAACAATACAATCAACTTAACAGATACAAATTATTTTCTATATGAATTCATCCTAGGCATGAAAAATGATAAAAGACAAATATATCCTTGTCTTAAAGGAGCTTAGAATATTGTACAGAGAAATATTTAATGCTATAATAGAAGCTACTAATGTGCTTTAGAGAAAAAAGGTGGAACTTTAGGTTTTCACTTAGATTTGAACATTGTTTTGCTCTGTTAGCTTGTGACTTCATGAAGTTCCTAAACCCTCAGCTTTCTCATCTAAAAAATGTAACTAAGAGAAAATAATAGCCATCTCAAAAAATTTATAAGAAAAATTAAATGTGATTAAAAAAAACAACGACTGGCACATTGAGTGGAACACTGGGGGCACTTAACAAATAATAGTTTGCACTTTTACTACAAATGCTAAAAGAATATGAAGATAATACATTAATTTTTTTTGAGGAGATAGCATTTAAGTTAATACCTAAAAGGAGGGAGTGGCCAGAAGAAAAAGATGATTTGGGGTAGGGAAAAGAGAGTGATGAGTACATTTGGGAAATAGCAAGCAGATTCAGTTACCTGTATCACAGAGATTAATTAGTATGTGATCCTGGAGAGGCAGGTTGGGTCACAGCTAAAGAATTTGGTTCTTGTTTTATAAGCAAAGGAAAATCACTCAGACATTCTGTTTTTGTATTTTCTGCAGACAGGTGACATGAGTCATGTGAATAATGACTTGATGGGGAAGAGCTTAGAAGCAAGGAAACCAGTTATAAGACTATTGCAGTATCTCATGAAAGAAATGAAGCCAGATGAAATAGGAAATACAAGAGACAATGAATTTTAAAAAAAAAGGAAAGGAAGGAATAAAAATTCTGATTTTGGTAACTAGAAAGATAGAATGTTTTCATTACCTAAGAGAGAAAACAAAGATAAATATAAGCTAAATACGTATTTACAAAAATAAATATAAGCTAAATACGTATTTACAAAGACAACGGCATGCATTACAAGTTTGCATGTAACATTTAATTTTTCTTACAATAGATATAATTAGTAAAAATTACTATTTTTACTTTCTCCAAAATAAGGGCCACAACATAGACAGAAAATACCAAGAGTTGTCATAAACTTTGATATCTTGGAAAACCATTACTGTTGTTAAGTGCCATTGAGTTGATTGTGACCAATAGCAACCCTGTACAGAGAGGGCTCTTCCAAGGAGTGGTTGGTAGATTTGAACTGTCACTTTGTGGTGAGCAGTTCAGTGCTTACCCTACAGTACACCACATCAGGATTATACAGGTAAGTATTATTTTGTTATACAAGATTTGAAGAAAATTATTACGTAATTTTGTATTTCAAGGTATTCGAATCTAAAAGTCCCTAAAACACGGTCAGAATACAAAATAACAAAATACTTACCTGAATAATTTTCAAGGGAGAATCTGGCTGGTAAATCTGAAGTCTAGGTATATAATGAACCAACATGTGAAGCATGTTACAAGCTACATGTGCGACTGTCTTATTGGTAAACTGTAGTAAACACAAAAAAGTATTAAAATATTATTTCTCAACTATTAATCAATACATTAGCTATTAAAAAACTTAAAATTTCATATATTTCTTGATGTTAAACTACATTTATGAAGCATGTTTATTAAAATAAACTAGAAAAATGAACCTATAGCTATAAAAAAAAAAATTCACAATGCATTCTAAAGACACAAAGCAATTTGATTTTTTCTTTTTAATTGGGGTCCTGGTGTGGCACTGCAGGATAAGCACTTGACCACAAGGTTGGTTTGAACCATAAGGTTGGTAGTTAAAACTCACTAACCACTCCTTGGAAACCCTGTCCAGGGTTCCTATATGTAGGAACAGACTCAACAGCTCTTAACAACAACAATATTAGAACTGTCTTCATTAATGTTTTATTTCATTCTCTCTTACTTGAATTTCTATAAAAGCTGCTCAACTACTTGTTATCAATCTTTCCTCCACTCCAATCTACTAACTATATACAGTAGTTTCAAATTAATCTTCTAAAGCATGGTTCTAATGCTGATAGTCTACACATTTAAAATCCTTTGATGACTCTCTAATGACTAAAGAATTTACATCTTTTATGCTTATCACTCTATGTTTAAATTCCATCTGACTCTTCAAGCCCTGATTCAAATGCCTTCTTTCCCCAAAGTTTTCACTGATAACCAACCACATCAAAATGATGTCTGCTTTGTCTGTACTCAATCAGTTTATGCATAACTGATTTGGTATTATTTTCAGCCTTTTATATTCTATTACTCTTATTTTAATCTTTCTCAGCTAAGATTTATAATTATCTTCTCCTATTCTGATACCCCTAACTCTGTCTAAGCAAACATAGTATATACTCAGAAATTCCACATAAATAGGTATTATTTAAAAACAATTATTAGAGTACTTTGTATGTGAAGGTGCTATAGATGTTACAAGTATTAAGACAGAAAAAACAATATGCATCCTTTCACAAACTGAAAAATACCCATCTCCTCATTCAAAGTCTCCCAACAGCATTCTATTACTTCTGAACAAATCTTACTCTGGCTACAAAGAGGGCATTTAAGTTGAATGATACAGCCAAAAAGTCAAAAACTTCATTTTAGGAAGTAGAAAAGTAGTGTTTAAAAACAAATAAAGAAAGTAACTTTTGTAAGTTCTTAAATGACTAGTTTTCTTTTTGGAAGTCATTCATATGAGGGGGTTTTAAAAAGTTTGTCTAGACAAAGAAATGAAAAGATAATGGAGTTTTCCCATAAAACTTTTGAAGCCTCCTCATATGTATGTAGAGATATGAATTGGGATTAGGGAAACAATAAAGTAACACATAAATAATGAAAACATTTATTAAAGGCACATGATATAATAATTTCCATTTAAAGAAGATTTAAAAAAATAACCATGCATTCTAACTAAATATTACACTGATTTTTTTTTACCTTTAATGAGACACAAATTACATTCAGCGCTTCTTTAATTTGAGGATGATGAGACTCATGGACAAGTTCTTCACAAATCCAAATACCTAAACTGCAAAGTGCTACACATCTAAGAAAAGGCAAATCAATGATATAAATAAAAGTAACCTAAGTAAAATAAAATCATCACTACAACCTAAATAAATAGTTATAATCAACTGACACAAATGAACATGCACTACATATATGAATTAATGAATTTGTTACTGACATTAGCTGAGCGTAACCCTGTACAATAAGCACTGGCCCGCAAGATCAATTTGAACCACAAAGTGACAGTTTAAACCCATCAGCTGCTCCTTAGAAACCCTTTACAAGGTCACTATGACTAGGGACCCACTCTACAGCGCTTAACAACAATGGAAGAGAATGTGGGGAGAAGGCACATCTCCAAAATCCCAAGCCTAATTTTCTTATTATAATTTATCACAGATCATAGGCTGTGTCTTTCTCACAAATACATATTAACAAGTAGGTATTTCTAAAAAGCTGCCCAAAGATATTTGTAACCTGTTTTCAATGAAGAAAGGGTATAACTTTACTGACAGCAGCAAAATGAACTTAAGAAAAAACATGAAATTGCTAGAAAAAGTAAAATTATTATCTTATCTTTTAAATTTATCTAGGAGTCCTGGTGTGGATAGGATAAGCACTAGACCTCAATGTCAGTTTTAAGTGCAAGGTTGGTGGTTAGAACTCACCAGCTGCTCCTCAGAAATCCTATATAGAGCCCTATGAGTTGGAACCGACTGGGGTGCACTTGACAACAAGAAGTCACAAGTTCTTTTTTTTAATTTAAGGTTTTTATTGTGGATTGAGTGAAAGTTTACAGGGCACATCATCAGTTTCACATTCAACAATTCATATAACTTGTTT